GGTCGGAGGGGAAGCTGGGAACGTTCGATGAGCTATGAGAGTACCGGGTGAATAATAATTGTAGAAAATAGGTCAACTTTCAGAGTTTCCAGTACAGCTCCGGGTAGCGATTATGAGTGGAGGAGGTAAATATTTCTCATCCCTCCCTCGCCCCTTCCAGCCCCATTCGATTCGAATTAAACAGGCAGATTGATTGATTGAATTTTTTATATGATTCGACAATTTTTGTCGGGTTTTCTTTTTTTAATTTCTTATTTCCCTTCAATTTTGTTTATTATTCTTTTTCGTACTATATTCTTTAGAGCTTCCGCTATTATTAATTGATACTGTGTACACAGGGGCGCCGTAATGCCTGACTTATTAGAAGTAGTAAAATTTTCTTTTTTCTTTTTTTTTTTTAGTAGTTCCTTTGGAAGCCATTTTTATTTCCGACTGCACCCGCATCTGTGTACTCGCATCCCTCTTTTCAAGAGGGATGGAAAATGGCGCCAGGAAGAAAACGTGTTTCCGCATAAAATGCTGACAACGACAACATCCACCGGAAGACTGATTTACTTGGAAAGGATACGAGTGGGGGAGGTGGTTCAGGGGGACAGGGATAGGGGTAGGGGGATATACTAATGCTATTGTTCCTTTTTTTTTTCTTTTTGAACAGATTATGCAATCCGGACAGAGACGCACATAAAAACGGATGCATAAGGAGATTGCACGAATATCGTTGAATTATTTTTCAGTGAAAGTTGATAAATGTTTTGTTTTTCATCAGAAAAATGCAAACAGCACTTTTCTCCCGGAGGATAAATTTATCATGGTTAAATTCCTCGAGAATTTATCCGTTGCTCGACGCTTTACAAAACGCCGGAATGAAAATCAACTATGCATCAACACATTTGAGTTTTATGTGAAAAATGAAAGAATTCCAGAGCGGGCTATCATCTGGGGCTACCGCATATACGTGAAATGGTGGATCAGACTCGTGTAAGAATAATTTTATTCTTGTATCGCGTTGGTATAATAATTATAGACGTAATGGAAGAAAGAAACTTTAGCAGTAACTAGCTTATTGTATCGATTCGATATCGATTTGCAAAATTTCGATTTTTCAGTATCTCTGGTAAACGGTCCGCTGGACTTTACACACGGACGCCCTTATACACCTACGGGATATCGTTGATCGTACAAAATTCCCAGGTGAAGTTATTACTAGTGTGCATCCTCCCTCTCTGCTCTACCTCCAATTTCCTCCACCCAACCGCTACGGCTATGGTCATTTACCGGAAGTCCGATAACCTCTCCTGCTATTTCCAATTAAACTGGAAATTTTTTTTCAACTTTTTTCCTTTACATGCTTCGACAGTTTTCGTTCATTCGAAAATTATGGCAGCTGCGTCCTGAACCTTGTGTCCCGTTATCATTTCTATTGACAGTTAATAATAAAGTCGCTATTAAGCATTTGATCGCCTGTGAGTGACAGGATAAAAAAATCACAATTGAAAATGTAATCGATATGGTACAAAAAAATTTTGAAAAAATTTCTGATCAAGACTGAATATTGATTTTTAGAAAAAAAAGTCAAAATATTACTTGTTACTTAAGACTAGAATTTTTGTGAGTTCTCCAGGCTTGTCCTTACCCAGGTGATCGCTGGCAGTGTAACAGGGGCTAAGGGTGGCTTCCATCTTTATTCTCTTCGCGGGAAAAGTGTGAAGAGGAAGAGAGAGGAAGTTGAGGTGGTCGATACGCCGAGAGACAAACGATCGAGGTAGCGAGAAACCTTCCTAGGAAAATCCCATTGGCCAAATGTAGCAATTTTATAAATGGGCTGTTTCGACTTCGTCCCTCATCCCAATCCCTATACCTTTTGGGAGTTGTTCAGGTGATCGGCTTCTGGAGCAGACCTGATCGATCGATCCTGTTTCAAGATTTACTTCAGCTCCTGTGAAACTCTTCCTTCAGACAAACCACAACGGAATCCAACAGATGTAAGACAACATAGAATCTGATTAGGTAAAAGAAAAGAAAAACAAAACTTGAGGTTGATTGATATTAAGTAATTTGATTATTGGACGATGCGTGTTAATGATGGCGTAAGAAATGGAGCGAATGTAAAGTTATAAGAAGTGAGTAAAAAAAGTATGGGAAGGATGTTGAAGGTGAAAAATTCTTTTGATTTACCTAAAATTCCCAAAAAGTTGTTCATTTTTTAAAACTTGTATAAAAGTCTAGTTGCGTAAAGCCTAGGGGTTGTCTGTAATCAGAGTGAACGAGATAAGGGTGGATAGAGGGGAAACAGGGGGAGGTTGGGATCTTTTGAAATCGATATAAAGTAGGAGGGGTTGTGTGCTTTTCTATTTAGTGGAGTTTGCGGTCGGGGCACCCGACTCGTAAAATTGTGCCCCAACACCATTAACTTTCTTGGTCTTTTATTACGTGGACTTTTTGATTGGCCGCTTTCAGGCTGGCAACAATTATAAATCTTGGAGATGGCCAACTTCCATTCCCAGCTTTCTTTTACTGATTTCTTTTGAAGGGAATCTAAAATTATCCAAATTTAACGGTTAGGATGGCATCTCGAAAGGGGTCCGCAACCATCTTAATAAGTGATTCAAAAGAAATGTGGATTATATATAAATAATAATAAATGAATGCCATTAACGCTTATTACCAACTCTCTCAAGAATAAATAGATATAATTTCTACGTAACGAAAGTGAAAATGAGAAATTTTTAATTGACAATCAAAACAAACTGACTCCAGTAGTGCAACCACCACGTAACCATACCTTCTTACTTTCCTGCAGTATAAATCGATCCAACTGTCAATTCGAAGTAGCGGACGGATCTTGAATCATTCATAACAGTCATAACTATGTCTCTTCACGTATTCAGTACAGTTTTTCAGTATCCTCCACTCGTGATCTCCACTATTTTCTAACAGTAATAAGATACTCTCGCAATGCCATTAAGCTTCACGACCCACAATTCCATGCGGGGCACTGAATTCCATATAAGAGCAGGAGGTGGCGCCACACGTCGACGATCTCTGACAGTTACGTTAGCATAAACGTGAACTAAGCCTCGGGACGATTGAATTGTTCGATTGAAGTTCAGTCGACGTGATGAGCCCGGTAGAAGGACGATAGAATTGTGCGCGGATCGATAAACAATTCGTCTCCTCGCGAACTGGTAGGAAAATACGTTTACGAAGGTTTGCAATGACGACGAGAAAGCGACGACCCGGAAACATCAAAGTTAAAAAAAATTTTGACAGGCTGTCCCGCATCATCGAAGGCTTTTAACGAATCTGCGTCGATGCCCTCGTAGGAACGTGATGAATAACGGTGAAGCTTGCAGCTGACATTCAAAGGTACGAAATCCCCCGTAATTCAGGTGCCGATAAAACAATTTATTCACACGTTTAACCAACGTACGACCGTCGAGTCAATTGGCCCTTTCGTTTTTGTCGTTTTACCATAGAACATATCTCTCCCTCTCGCGGAGTATCCAGACACGAGCAATTTACGAAAAAGTGGCTGAAGGACGTTGGGTTCCTACGACGCGGGTAAGGTGAGGTTAGGCTTAGAAGACGGTTTAGAAAGGAGGAAAAAGGAGGCATAGCTGGCGTAGACAGGGTGTCGAGGGTCCGCTTACGCGAGAGGAAAGCATGAAAGCGTGCTCGTGAAAAATTACGGTCAGCTCGGGCAAAATAAACAAGAACCTGGAGCAAATCTCCAGCGGTAAATCAGAAGAGAGTCGATGCTCCCCGCTTTACCCCTCAGCTACAAACTACCGCTGAGCCATTGAGCCAGTGGTTTTTGGCTCCCTCACCCTCTCTTACCATCCTCCCCTTCTGCCACTCTCTCACCCTTACACTTGCCCTTTACTCCTTGTTGCCACTTGCCCTCGTTTCATACTTTTCTTCACCCACCTCTCTCCCATGTCATTTTCTTCGAAAAAGAGACAAAGCACAATACCGTTATCACACAAGGACCACAGCCTCTCCTCTCACTGGAGGTTACAGACCCATTTCTCCAGCAGATATTCCATATAGAATTTTAAACATGTCAAGAGTGGGGCAATCTTTTTTTTTACATATTCCCAAAGGCGCCAAGGGTCTGTTTACGTCTCTCGTTTAATCCCAACCTAGCGAATCGACGTCTTTCTCAAAGTTTGCCTCACCGTGTTATCTCCTCTGTTTCTTTCACATTTATTCAAGTCTCCCAGCGTTCAACCATCGCAGCTACGTATCCGGAGGGCAGGACAATCAAACCGTAAGAAACTGATAGTAGGACTTGCAAAATTGGCTGGCGACTCTCAAACTCTGCACTGGTCACCAGGTTAATCCACGTGGGAGCTCCTGCTAGGATGTTCCTACCCCAAGCCAAATAAACAAGAGTGTATATCCCCATTTCCTAAATCCAAGCTCATCCTTTCTCTCTAGGACTCTACGGTACCCACCATCGTTCCCGACACCCTGGGACTTGACCGAGCGATAAATATTTTATCGCATAGATAACACCGAGTGATATACTACTGACAGGTTGCAGAGTGTACTGGTACTGCTGGTACCACCGGACCACTTTTACTCCCGGCGCTACCGAGATAAACAGAATGATAGTCGGATAAGAATTTTATTGAAAAGGTACAATCCCAAGGCAGCCAATATCGGAGGAAGACAAACAAGGTTTGATAAGAAAGAAAATATTATCAGTGATAACCAGTCGATGGAATTATAGACCGGAAATCAATGTTTCATTTCCGTAATGACGTCACTGTCGCCCACGGCTATTGTCCTAGTGTATATTTAAAAATTTCATCAACAGTCACTTAACAACTTAGCATTGCTACCAGCAGCCGGGACATCCACCAAAAAGCCAGAAGGGTAGACCTTTTGGAGGGTCTATTATTACGTTACCCTGTATTATTCTTATCTGGGCGTGCAGTCGTAGGGGGATGTTCCGGTACTTCCTACTATCCGCCTCCCCCGTATCCGGCTGACTTTAATCGTGTCAGCTTATCGCGCTGCGGATGAATCCAGTTAGCTAAGCGCGTGCGAGCGTGCGTGCTTGCATAATGTCCAGAATGTTTTCTCCAGGGAAGCATGAAGATAGAATTTCATGAAAAAAAAATGTATTAAATAAAATTTCAAATTTACCAAAATTTCACTATTTTTATTTAACACTCGAAAATTCGCATTATCATACTTACCCCGTATGGGATAACCAAAGCCGTAAATCCATAAACCAGACATAAACTGACAATGGTACCAACTAAATTCTCGAATTCACTGTATGGCCAGGTCAAAGGTTATAGTTACTTAGGTGGAAGCAGGAAACGAGGTGGTTTCAGGAATCTGATGATTTGTATGTCTCAGTCTTTAACCCTTCAGACCAATACGACGTTCCGGATTTCAGTGGGTTTAAAAGTTACTGCCAGCACTCAAAGGTTACTACCCCATAATACTGTAAACTATATCTAACCTATTGTATCATAATACATTGATCTATAACGTATAAGCGCCATCTGGAAATACCGCCTCCTTCTCCTCTTTCTCCTTCTCTTCTTCCTCGTCGTGCTCGTTTTCAATATGATTCTCTCTCTCGCTCTCTCTCTCTCTCCTTCTGTCTAGCTTCACCATTACTCGGTATACGTCCTGACTATTTCGGCCATTTTGACTATTCCGACTATTCCGACAATTCATACGATTCACCGGTGCTAGTCAGTTCGGTACACATTGAGCTGTCCATAGACTGTGACTAGAAGCAGGAAAGTACCGGAGCTATACAGAATTGAATCCCACTATGGAAGACTAGTCTGCAAACTAAAACGTGTTGCTACCGACTCCCAGTACGTATCTCTGACTCTGTCGGATGCTCCCTGTAAGCTAGCGTCGAGTTCCTTTGAGGTTGGTTGTTAGAGGATATATATGTATATATATATATAAAGATGGATCAACGTGACACTGCAATAACCTTATGACTGCTGAGCATTTTGTTATAAAAGAAAGTTTATAGGCTGTCTTAAAATACATGTATACCGACCGTTGTCTCTGATCTTTGAATGAGTCCTGTTCTCGTGCCTGAGTATAAATGGGAATGGTGTAACGTGCTTGAAAAAAAAAAAAAATTGCATCCTTATCTGCTACTAAGAAAACTTATCTAAGTGGAATTTCGATTTTGCGGAATATTTTTTTTGTACTTTTTCATTTTGACCTAAAACAGCACGAGGTGCTGGAGATGAAATTACTCCGGTGCTTCAAGTCTGGAGGTATTGACATTGTTGTGAAACTGAAATGGTTTCTATCACTCGTCTGCCAGGGTGCATCAATTTTTTTTATTTTTTTTTTGTTATGTCAAAGAATTACAAATTTTGACGAGTTTATTTTTTTTTATTTTTCACTCTTTCCATACTTCCGTCGTGGACCGACCTCCTCCTTTTTTTAATTCCTTCTTTTACTCAGATGTTTTAATCTTCTGAGCTTGCTCCTGTTCTATACTTTATTGCATTGGGGTGCATCTCTTTCACGGGGAACGAGAGAGAGTGAGAGAGAGAGAGAGAGAGACTGTAAAATTGCGAGAAAAGAGAGAATACAATGTGGATAGCCGGACGCCGAGAGAAAGCTTTTCTATATGAGAGAAGCTTGGGTGGCCTGGATTTCTCAGAAGATACTCTGCTTCTTGCGCAATAACCCAACCTGAGCAGTCTGGCCATCTTCTTGGTAATTCCACCTCTCTGACTCTTTACCCTCTGAGAGTGTGTACGTATGTACGTGTGTATATATATCAATGATATATATATCTGGAATATCTAGATAATATCCAGATAGCTAGTTTCAAAACTCCCCTCTTGAAGAGGGGGTCGTAGGGGACGGGAGTCTCTCGTAGCGTCTCTACAGGAGGCAGCTATTTCCGGGCCGTTGTCATAATTTACGTAACTACATAACTCTTTGTACTTCCACTGATGCAATGGAGAGAGAACGAGGCGCTCGTAAAGATAAAAAATGGCTGCGGTCCACGCTCGGCGAAGAATCCTCCTGTTCTCATTCATCCGACCCCCTGACTGAACTGAAACAGCCGAAATCAGTTAACCAGGGGAAAAATGAAAACAGCCCATAGCCATGGCTATCCGAAGGAGGCCATTAGGGGTGAGTGTGGATGACTGAAACTTGACGTACAATAATATAGCGTCAAGACGTTCCCGAGGGGTAGCGGCAGAGGGTCTCCCCTCCCTTAAGGGGGTAGGAGGAGTATAATACCAAAACGATCCCTGGAAAATGGTTAATTGAAATTTCCATTAAAGAAGGTATCCTCGATAGTCGGGGGCGGACAGGGTATACCGTAGATACAATATAACCAGGGGGAATTGGAGGCGAGGGTGAAAAAGAAAAAGTTGGACGAGAGATTTTTCTCCCTTTTAATTAGTCGACTCTTGTGCCCGCTGGTCCCTTCTTATTAATCGCTCCGGCAGTTTTATTCGACGACGAGAGGAAGAGACTAATCGTAAGAGAGATACCTCTGAAAGCTTCGAGGACCCCAGGTCCTACGGATGGCTCAAGATAACTTTTGTAGCCGCAAAGCCGACGAGGAAACGATGAATCGAGGGCGAACGATTTTGCGTAATTAATTTGAGAAGAGATTGAGGACCCAGTGGGGATGGTGGGGGATGGTCCGTTTAAGAGGGGGATGCAAACCCTTGGTCGCTATACTTGTCATCTTTATATCGCTCTCTTTCTCTCTCTTTTCCTGAACCCTCCGCAGGCTCTCCTGAGCCACTCGAGCGATTTCCGTCGAGCGTTTGCGCAAATCTCTAGATTAATTCACTCCCGCGCCAGGCTGGTCTTGCGTCTTCCTCCCCGCGAATGTCCTCACTTCCTTTTCCTTTCTCTGTGTCCCTTTGCCACATCCTTTTACTCTGTCGCTCTTGCACTCTGTCTCTCCTACCTTCACTCGACACTCTCGGTACTCCCGCGCGGAAAACGGATATCCCGGTCACGTAACTCCCGAAATTCTCCGGCGCAACTAAAATTTGTCGCCATCAGCTAGATGAATATTTATTTGGTTTACGCTGCTGGCTACGTCGGACTGGATGCCCGAATTACTGGGATAGAACGACGCGAGGACTCATTGCCGTGCTTGGTCGTACGTGTCGGCTGTGATGCACCTTTTTTTGGTGCGAAACTCTTCGTAGATACAAAAAGTCGTAATATTTTTCATTTTAGTTCGTTAGTTTTCCGTTATCTTTTTACGCTTACCCGTGGAGCGGCGTGGGGAAAATTTGTTTCGAACTTTCGCCGATCGTCGGTGGTGGCAGCACTGATGCTTTGGCTATGCGTTTTAACGGGCTAGAGGTGACAGTCGTGACTGTAGGTCGAGCGTTGTCGAGCGTTGTCGAGCGATTCAAGTGGTATTTGACAGACGTAAACAAACCGCTCTCATTCCCTACGGAAGCAGTAACGTAAATGAAGCTGAAGTTCTTCGCTTTGACACATTCGATTTCCTGCGAAATCAATTCTCAAATCGAATATTTCAATTGCCGGAAGGATATCAAGCGCACGAGTCTCATCAGTCCTCGAAGCTGTCATCAAGATTTGTCGAAGAAAACGTTCGTGGCACTCTTTTGACGGTAGAGTTGAAATAAAAACGGATTACGTGAAATTAAGGAATTTCTTGTTGGGGATGACGGAGGTGGAATAAATAAGAACGGAGGTCGCAGGAAAATGCTTGGAAAAGTGAAAGGGCGACGATACTCTCTTGGGGTGAAAAGAAAAGTAATGCAACTTACCGCAAGGACTTTCAATACATAACCTCTTACCTCTATATGATAAAAGGACCACGAGAACGTTCGTATAGGAATAATAAGAAGAAATAGAAGACACGATAACAGACTAACAAGATGTCCGGCGTAATGAGGATGTATCGTTAATTTTTTTTTTTCTTCTCTTTTACCTGCTTTTCCACTTTTTCGCCTGTCGCGCATCAGAACTCCTTAGTTTCTCGCTTCACGTTCTCAGCCTCCTGCCGGCACGGGCCAAGAACTTTGATAACTTTGCCAAGCGTGAGGGCTGAAACGAGACTTTGCGACGTCGTAATTTATTTTCCTTCTCTTATTAAAGACTCGAGTATGATTAGAGAAACGTAGAAGCGGTTTGCTGTATCAAACTGGACCCAGATGCTGGATATTAGATACCATTAAATGTCAAATGGATACATAAGAATAATCTTCAAAATTAATATCCTCTTATTTTACCTGAACACGGTTCCATGTTCCAGGTAAAGTAAGAGGGTATTCATTTTGAAGATTTTTTATTTTTTTTTTAGATTTTCACTACAATTTTAAAAATCCAAATATTCCCGTGTCGTTATCGAAAGGACTGATGAAAAAGTACAAAACAAAATTTCCACTATCCATACAGTCACGTATTCAGGTACAGTCAGAGATATTTACATATTCAAATACTCAGCGAAGAACAAGAGATAATATTGGCCCTCGTAGTTGTCGACGACGTTTCCGGTGCATCGCATTGCGCGCGCATCCTACTTCGGACCTGCGCTTCACGTATATAGAAGCAAGACCAAGACTATAGAGGCTTCTCTAGGTGGTAGGCAGTTAATTTTCAGCGTGCCCATGGGAATCAAATAAACTAGCTAATCCAAGATTCCCAGCCAACTGGTAACCGCCATTAATCTAAATTAATGTATGGCCCACTAGTTCACCACCTACTAATCAGGATTCTCATTAATACTAAAATGGAGTGAGGTTATTATGAATTTCTACCGAACTATTTTCTTTTTTTCTTTTTTTCTTTTTTTTTTTTAAACAAATAAAATACACTCTGACGCCGATTCTTTAGGATTAGACAAACGAAAAAAGAGGATCGCATTATGTGAACTTTCATATTTAGACTTTCGCTCTAACAATGTTCGTGCCCACTTAACGACTTTGCGAATTATTTAGTAGTTTAATTAGGAAGGGACCACTCAATGGCTAGTTAATATTGCACGCGACGACTTTTAGTATCTGGATGGATATTCATTTTGTCTTTCGCCAATTCCTGGTCGACAATATCTTGACGCCATTTTTTGTATTATCACTCGAATGATTTTTGCGGTGAATTCGTGGATATGGAAATTTTTTACTCATACAATTTAAAAAAAGAGAGACTGGTTGTTAAGGGGAGATGTAAAGAATGTCGGGGGGAGTGGGGAGTAGGAGTGGGGACAATCGAGAATTCTTGAAAATACAGTGAAGAATATAAACTTCATTAGATTTAAATATTTATGAAGCCAAAGAAAGGTTTCAGCCAATTTAAAGTCAAGCAAACGACGTGTTTCTTTATTCTGGCAGGAGAGCAAGGAAAACGATTGGCTAAAGGATATAGGAAGGTTTCGAATGTAAGATAAAATAAGAGAATACTTTTGACTTGTTGATTTTTCAAGATTTCGTCTTTTTTTGCCATTAAGCCATTTATTTTACCGTTAAACAGAGAAGATTGACGTAATCACGAAGAAGAAGGAATTTCGAAAGATCTTTAGGGAATGAGAAAAGGACTAATACAGAGGGCAGGATAAAACTTCTGAAGAGAGTTAAATCAACGTTAAAGGATTCGAAGGTTTGTAAAGAAAGTTCAAGAAGCAAATTGGTAAAATGAGATTAACGATTCATTACTTTCCTTTTTGTTTTTCCTTTGCGTCCACCCCCCTCCCCCTCCTCTCTCGCCCTCTATCGTTATGAAGTTTATAAAAAATATTGAAAATTTAACAATTTCAAATTTCACACGAATAAATTCAAAAACAGATAACTCAGTATCCTCGTCGCTCCATTTCCACCTTGGTCTGATAAATCACAAGAGACGTCGGACACTGACAACGGCGACGGTGGCGACGCCAGCGGATATCCACTTAAGCTGTGAGAGAACTAGACACTCTACAAAATCCATTGGCTTGATTTAACCGAGAAAAACTTCCACCGAAATAGTCGTAACTGCGTAACTACGTCAGCGTACTGCGAATTGGATCTGTTAGCTCTGAGTTCCTTTTACAGTCTGGCCATTTAACACACTTTCCACTGACAGAGTAGATATTACGTTTCTGCTAATGGTTTCCCGTTTTTATCGCGACGACCAACGAGTTGGCTGCAACAATGGCAGTTAAGTCCCAAGACATTGTTCCCTCGCGACAATTTCACGTTCAAGTAACGAGGCTTTCCACAAGTAGGTTTCAGCGTTATTCTTAGAATCGATGAAGAGGAAAAGCTTTGGTATAAAATGAAAAGGAAAAAGAGAAAAACAAAAAATACTCTTAATATTACTATAAATAAAATACAATGTATGTGATATATGGTACGTGAGCTAATAAAATAAATTTGAATTGTCCGAAGGAACCGGAAGTACCTTTGTCACTCATGGCTTCACTGGTGGAATTGTATGGTTATTATCCAGTGATTTATGTATGTATATGTATATACATATATTATATAGCTAATACTCTATAGGACATAAAGGACTTCTCTATTATCGTAGCAGGACGCTAATGTTTAAATCGATAACAGCGGTGGGTCTTGGCGGAGAAAGAGAATTCCCGAAGAAACGAGAGAGAGCGAGAGACAAAGAGGAAACTGCCGGCGCCCAACCGACCTTGATAGTCCAGACGCAATGCCTCGCCTCGTTACTTTGATATATCTTGCGCAATTAGATTTTTACATTGGTCAAATCAGAATAACGTAATCAGCGGTAGAAAAAGTGAACAAACGAGAAAAGAATGATCGTACGAGAAAATTGGATAGTGGAGAAGCCCGAAAATTTCCTTAAAGAAAACAAATAACTTAATCGTCGGCCATTTTGAAATTGTAAAATACTCTTTGATGACTATATCGAAGCAACTTGACGATAATGTTGTTTATAGAAACGATCGTGTTAGGCTATGTAAACAGTCAGGTAATTTCAAGTATGACGTACCTCCGCTATTTGCAATCTTCAAAATAGCCAACTGCGTTATACGACTGCTCACCAAACTATCTCACTGACTTTTATTCGGTCGTTAGAAAAACGTAGGGTGGCTCTCTTTGGCTGATACGTATTTACGTAATGCCACAATGTGTTTTGTTGCTTTTTGTCCACTTCGTAAAAAGAGAACCCACTCACCAACTATACGATTCACACGTGAGCGTATAAATTTCTTTTAGAGCTGTGAACATCTCGGTCGGTATTCGCGTACTACGCTACACTCAGGAATTCTCGACTGTGGTTGGCGGATGGATGCTCGATGCTCCTCGGCGATAAACCGTTCAGTGAAACGAGGTGAAACGGGATACCTGTTTGCAATAAAGAAAAAAAAAGGAAAAAACAAAGAAAAGTTACGATCGGTTATCACCGGATACATCAGGAAGTATGATCGATACGGAAGAGACGGTAATTTCTTTATCATTGTCATAAAGAGAGAGAGTGAGGTGAAATTATTAAAGCGAAGATACATTAACGGCTTTTCAGATGGTAATGTAGATCCTAGTATGGTTATAGCTTTTTTGTCGTCTTGGAAAACGAAGCCAGAGGGCGTTGAATAAATAATACAAAATAATATATAAAAAAAGATAAACGTCCCGAACCCGGTGTAAGTATTTTACGAGGTAAGTTCTACTATCGTGAAACATCAAGTTAGGTTATCACCTGAGCTACAATGCGTTTATCTTTATCGCCGTTACGTAACAATATTTCATCGCGATATCCTTCGAGGACATCGCACTCTAACCTATAACTTTAGAAGTGGAGAGCGTATATATATATAAAACTTTACGCAATTCCATAGTTGTATCTGGTTACCCTAGGTATCGTTTTTACTACCTTAGTACATTCTTCGGGCTGGATCTGTTGGAATGGAGGTACCTTGTGATTTGGATGAAGTAATCTAAAAATATATATATAGCGTGATAACATCTTTCTGGATTATCGAGGTAAATCGTTTTTGGGTTTTTAATTGAAATCTTTATAATATTATATCACTTATAATCCAATACCGTTATATCCATTTCTCAACGTCTTTTCGAATTTCTCGCAGAAGACAGATTGAGGAAAGTCACAGCGAGTCAGTGACATCTTAAGCACGTCATGGAAATATTTGTGAGTCTGCCAACTGTAAGCGAGTTAAGACTTTGGGGATTTACTCGTAATCTCCCGTTCGAGTGGGAAAACCTCCCTTATCTTGGTATCCCTTACGTAATCTTCCTTTCTTGCTTTTTTTCTGTAGTAGGAGTAAGAAGAGTACGGAGAATCTTAGAGAGAGGTGGATGAGGGTGTTGCTGAAGAAAATTGCATTTTTTGAGAGAAGGAAGTGTAGGTGGTTTTAAAAAAAAATGAGAATAGTCCGGAAGTAAAATGGCGGATCGTTGAGTCTAATGGAGTATGGACAATCCACGATTCGAAATGAAACGTTATTGCTGGTTTTGCGGTCGAAAACTTAAAGAGGGTGGATTCGATGTTTTTTTTTTTGTACGAAGATAAAAAGGAACAAGGGTGCAGAAGATAATGTGGATGCGGGGCAACAGTGCGAGAAATAGAGGAAGTCCGGAAAGTCTCACTAGCGAATACGTGTCGCCGTCTTGTCGCCCCCTAAGTTTTACTAGACTCTTTGCATGCAAATCGGCGACTCCTTGCGGCCGGAAGTGTAGCGCTGGTGTAGCAAAAGATAATGCAATGAATTTTTTGCGTTATGGATAATAAGTATTTTGAATTGAGATGAATTTAAAAGCTACTGTTATAAATTATTTCAAAAATTGGAAATATTGTATCGGCGATAAAAATTTTTTACCACTATTTACGTAGTCAATATTAACCTTTCCTTTGTTTGAAGGCATATCGATCGTAAGTAATGGCTGTATCTCTGAGTTGGAAAAATTGTACGGAAACTGTAAAGCGATTTTATATGAAAAAATATACAATGGATGGCTTAGAATTCTTGATGATTGGGTATAATGACGGGTATGGTCCATTACTATTAGCAACTAGTCCAGTCGCGGTTGGCCGAGTATTATGACAACAATTAAAATCTGACCGATGTCATAAACGACATTGGTGCTTAGTACGGAAGAAAGTCTGTAGTAGACTGCGCTCTCTATAAAAGTCCTAGCTCCTGCTGAATTTGCATCCAGTAGTCTTTGAGTTCTGTAGTCCGAATTCTGAGTTAGGACGCGATGGCAGAACGGGTAAGTGAAATACTGAGATTATGAAAAATTTTGAATTTTCCAAAAAAATGTCAAAAAGTAGATTTTTATTTTTGTTTTTTCGTTCGTAGTTGGTACGACGATTGGCTTTGTACGTGAGAGGCATTTTATTTTTTCAAGTCGACTGCCTATCATTTTCTCGATTATGCGTGTTTCCACCCTGTACATCCACCCGTCGTATTAATTCTACGTAAACGTGCCTGAAGTTCGTAATGACGTAAGAAACGGGCGCATTTACATTTACGTACATACGAAAAGTTGTATAAACCGGAAACGTTGCTAGCAGACAGTTTCGTTGGATCTTTGTATAAATTGCTTTGCCGCTGATTAAATTCTGAGTTATTAAGCGGCAACATTTGCATTTCAAGAAGAATATATGTCGGGGCTAGAGCTTGTTGGTCGACTCTTCCAGGGACTCCAGAAGTGCACCGGAAGTGTAATATGTTATCCGGATGGTTCTGTGCTACAAGAGAATTAACAGTTTAATAGGATCCCAACTATCTCGTGTTCATTGGTGAAGATGAAGAAAGCACCGAAAACCCCTGGACCAGCAATTCCAGTCAGTTTGGCAGCAGGAGAGTCGTTCTTCTCTTAAGCGGAAAGCGAAAGCCGCAAGAAATCGTGTGCAACGTTGGTGGTAGCGGCTGTGGTGACGTTGCTGGCGTTGCTGGCGTTGCTGGTTGCGATGACCGTGGCTCGCGACGATTCCGCCATAAAACAAGGAGTCTACTGGCGATTTACTGAAAATTATCGTTCTTCCGCTTGGGTGTACAGGAATGCGAGCACTCAGTCGGAGAAGTTTCAGGCGTACGTCACATCCGGTGACATCGTGGTCAGCTCCCGTTGACTTTAGGATCAATTTCGTTGCTAGTTTAGATTCTTAGGATCGTCTGTGTTTCTATTTTTAATATAGTTTTTTTTTTATTTACCAGTTACGGCTATTCTTCGCTCTACTCTTGGGGGTAAGCGTCGCGATAAACGTAGACGCTCTTCAGGACCCCAGGACGCGAAATCAAAAAATTCTGCTGCCCGTCCGTTCTAATGGAGATGCTGCTACGATTATTGATTTTCAACCGATTCGAGTAAGTCGGCAAGTTGACCCAACTCTCAAGAATGCTCAAAAGGTATACCTGATACTCAAATTCTAGTTCTCATAGCAATTGTTGCGCCATCTTTGAATGATATTTTTGGGTAGATTGCCGTACGGAAACGACAGCTTCCGATTGGCCAGCCGGCGCCACAAGCTCTTATTGAACATCTCACGCGAACCAACGACGCATCGTTTTTGTTGCCTACGACGGGGGCAACAGGAAAAATCCACGCGAATGGCATCGCGGCTCTGTCGAGTCCAGAAAACTCGTTGGGTGCTAATCTGGAGCTGAAGATTGGTCAGGAGCCTTTGGCTTCCGATCGTATTACTTTCGTAACGCCATCGATTGTCGTTCCTCAAGAGGCACAAAAGAGACATCATGCAGGATCGCATGGTCATGGTCATCATCATCATGGACATGGCCATCATGGTCACCATAATCATGGACATCATCACGGTCACGAACATCAGCACGGACATCATCATGATCATGCCGAGAAGCACAGTCATCATGAAGACCATAATCACAAACATGGACATCAACATGATGAAGGTCACAAACATCAGGAAGACCATCATCACAAACACGGGCATGATCATAAGCATGGTCACAATCATCACGAGGATCACAAGCATAGCGAGGATCATCATCACAAACACGGTCATGACCATAAGCACGGGCATGACCACAGCCATGAGCATAAACACGGTCATGACCACAAACATCACGGTGAACATAAACATGAGCATGGACACGAACATCATTCGAAACATGAACATCACGAGGAGCACAAACATCATGGCGAGCACCATCATCATCACAAACATGCGCATCACAATGAGCACCATCATCACCACGACCATCATCATATCAACGAGCATCACCATCACCATACACACAAGGAAACCGAGACCCATCATCATCATCACGGCCATGATCACAAGGAGGATCATAAGCATGAGCATAAGGAAGACCATGCTCATCACCATGGACACGAACATACGCACGGACACAAAGAGGAACACAAGCATGGTCATCACGAAGATCATCACCATGGACACGACCACGGTCACAAGCACGGACATCACGAAGAACACAAGCATGATCATCACGAGGATCATCATCACAAACATGGACACGATCACAAGCACGGTCACGAGGAATCTCATCATCATGGGCACCACGAAGATCACAAACACGATCATCACGAAGAACATGATCACAAGCATGGTCACGAACACAAGCATGATCACAAAGAAGATCATCACCACGGGCACAATGAAGAGCATCATCATTCTCACAGCGAAGATCACAAGCATGATCATCATCAAGACCACAAGCACGGACACGATCATCACGAGGCTCACAAACATGGTCACGAACATAAGCACGGTCACAAGCACGACGAACATCACAAACATAAGGAAGATCACCATCACAAGCACGGCCACGATCACAAACATGGACACGAGCATCATGAAGAGCATAAGCATAGCGAAGATCATCATCACAAACACGGACATGACCATCATCACAAACATCACGAATCTCATAAGCATTCCGTTCACGAGGGTCATTCTCACGGGCATCACAGTCATCATGGTCATCATGGACATCACAGTCATCATTTTGGCGCATCACAAAAGCACGAACAGTTTGTTTTCCCAGAAGAGAGCGCTCCATTGGGAACTGCGGCAATTATTGTTACCGCTGCGCCTGCTACCACTATCGATGATACCAGCCGCCTCTCGTTTGAACTTGGTGATGATGCCGATGCTGATGTTGATGCTGATGCTGATGCGGATGACAATGTTGGAATCATTTCCGGTATCCAAGATGGTCAGACTGAAAAAAGCGAAATTTCAAGGATTGATATTCCTGGCGGAGCATCCGTCATACAAATCTAAACATCGTCTGACCAATTGCCTGGTAAATCTCCTCGGTTGGATAGAGATTAGTTGAGTCTTGCATTACTCAACAAGGATCGAGGCTTCCAACATGGTAGCCGTTAAGCCTATAAATTTCCAGAAGTAACCTCTGGAGGATGCTTCGCAGTCCGTAACGTCTTTTATTTTTTATGTGACATTATACGCAATCAACTAGTCGTTTATACCGGCAGTCCTATAAAACCGATACCAAGATCGTGGAATTGGACAGATGAAAGAAATTCAGATCACAGAAGGACTCAAGTAATTTCTATTAATTAAGGAAAAAAGTATTATTTTTGTTCATATACTTTAATATTCATGGTTATTAGAAAAATAAAGCTTGATCATCGTTTCTCTGGTTCTTTTATTTGACGCTGATGATAATCTATACGACAGGAAACTCCATGCACGTAATTCATCTCACAATCGAAGCATGAGGAGGGATAGTACGCGCGCTTTGCCGCGCGACTCGCCAAGAAGTTAGAATTGCAAAATTAATTTGATCGAAAGTTTGCGAGGCGGAGCCCATGTCTACGTCGCGCGGCTCTAAAGTTTCCTTGCTTTTTTTTTCCACGTTCATAAATAATTCACCGAGCAAATAGCAAATACTTTAATTACAGTCGGTCGCTACTTGATAATCTTTAACTATTCGCTTATTATAATTTCTAGTCCACCTTAACGGGCCGTATACATTAGCAGTTTTTCAAACGTTCTTTCGTATAACGATTTTTTGTTATTTTTCAAAAACTGTCTAACCACTTAATAATAATGACAGAGATTATATTGGTTGCATAAAAAATATGTAAATTGTATACAATCACATTTATATATTGGCGTTATATATTTTCCTACCGAAATTTTAAAATTTTTCAAAATGTGTAAACGCATATCGCGTGTTACGTATCATCTACTGAATCTGTTACCTTAGCTAAATTCAAATAACAGGTGTAAACGATGTGATGGCATGCGATGCGATATGATGCCCAGCGTCGCGACGCTATATGAAGCAGTCAGTGATACGTGGGTTAATACTGGCGGATGCTTTCACTTCCGGAATTAAGGTGTGGCGATCACGCCAGTCACCAAGTTCCAAGATATTAATTAATATCCGGCTACGATCGTAAGGGACGTATTACACAGTCGAGTAAGCTAAATGATCCATCAACTTTTGACTTTATCATCTGCAGGACGTTCCACCAAACGAATTTCAAGTTATACCTTTAATCCATCTTGAATTACAGATGTTCAAATACCCAAAGCAACGAAAAGGATGGTCAAGTTAGCAGACGAAAAATTCTTTCTATAACGTCTGTCCAATGAGATTAGACCTTGGTGTAATTTTCTATAGGTGGCGGCACTGGCAACAGTAATAAGAAATCATGGCGACCATTGCCACGCGTTACGAGGTTTGAGGTTTTGTGTCGGGATACGTGAGAAACTCTTGAATGCCAGCCATTTGAGAATGGCCGTGCTTGAAGTCAGAAGCTTTCAAGAAGCTCCAATCAATTGGTTTTTACGCTTCGCGCTAAGAAAAAGCATTGGTTGCTTACGAATGGTTTCCCATCCCGTACTACCATTTCTTTACTTGCACTTAGGCCTAGTTCTTCTGCCATTTACTACACCACCGTCTACGATTACAATTTCACGTCAATTCATCTTCCTATAGATATACGGTATGTGCTTTATGTTTGTTATAAATATGAATTTTCTTTCTTGGTTATTTTTAAACATAAGGTACTTATAGAGAATAACAATTTTATGACTCAATATGTATCTATTGTTAACCAATGATATCGTAATGCAGGTGACAATCAGATTCGTAATGTTCATTCGACTAAGCAGCCACGTGGCTCGTTTCATGATAGTGTAAAATCGAATCAAAGTGGACACAGTATCTATGTATGTATCACGGCATGCGTAAGCCAGCCGTTTCAGCCAGCCAGCCAGCCAGCCAACCAACGGACCCGCAGACGTGGATGTTAACACGATTTATGGGTGGGTAAAGGCTTTTCGAAATTTGCATTAGGTAGCCAGAGCGAGGGTCACGAAAGACTGGAGAGAAAAGAATGAGAATAATTCAAGCGGAAATACGTTTTACCGGAAGGCTAACACTGTACTTTGAAAAGTATTTGATTTTTTCTTATTTTTTATAAACCATCCAACTTTATTACTTATTGATATTTATCGACGACGACGACATCTGTTCGGAATTGAATTTTGCCAATAGCTTTTGATCGTTTCGAGTTTTTTTTAACGTTTAGGTCAATCTTCATATTTATATAGTCTTTGTTCGGCGTGAAAAACGTAATGCAGGGTAAAAGCTTGGAAATGTCGTGGCTCGTTGCTACTTCTGGACACGAGAGGAATGGAAAATTGTGGATGGACGGAATGCGCATGCGCTTACAGACAGGGGGAGTTTCTGGCGGCCGTGGCGGTTGGGTCTTCAACTCGCGTAGACGAGACAGCCAGTGGCAGTTATCGCGTCGCGACGCTCGACGTTGTTTCGGGACGTCTTGTAGCACCTCGTGACAGAACAATGACCGATTTTATAAGACGTCTATGGTAAAAGTACGAGAGAAACGTTAGACTAAGAAAGACGGTTAAAACTTTTCGTGGAAATAAGGTTGATCGAGCTTTTTGACTTGACTGAAATTCAAAAGTTTTTGCTTGACAATGTCATCACAGTGCTCTTTATCATGAATTATTCTAGTGTTTATAGAGAACATTTAAACAATGAATAAGCATCGTACCAGTGATGTAAAAAATATCGTTGACAACTGTAAGAACGTGAGAATGACTATCCTTTGTTCGTGAATTTGTTTCGTGGTTTCGCTATGAGACGTTGACAAAGGTGAAAGGTAGAATAAAAAAAAGGGGAAAAAATGGTGAGAGAATTGTAGCAGGTTATCCGATCGGATTTTCTCATTTCCTGGTTGCGCGAGATTTATGTCTCCCGTTGGTTCAGTGAGTCCTATTCTCTCTCTACTCTCTCACGCTTGTTTCTTCCAGAAAGAATAATTCTTCTTGGCATTCGTAAAATCTTAGTTGGAAGATTTTAAAAATTCTCAAAAGTTCCGTAGCGATAAATAGTTTTTCCGTGTTTTGAATGATATCAGTGATACAGAGACGTAAAGTGAATTCGAGGAAACAGGAAAAGACAATTTAAACGACATAGGAAACTGCCGGCAAGTAAATCGTGTATTAAGGATGGCATGAAAGAGACATAAGAATGTAGGGAACACGAAATATATCAATTTACAAGAGGTTATCTGAAGCTTGTAACTAATAAGAACAACTCGGGTCGAACCGGTAGCGACGGCACCGGGTAGCACATTGCCTGTATAAAAATGCCTGAAAGTGCCAAGGAGTCCTTTACATATTTTCGGTAAAGGACTCTCGTGAAATTCCATCATCGATGAACGAATTACTCGAATAGCTCGGATAGCTTGGATAACTGAGATAACCCAAATAACCGAATCGATCGATTATCTCACCTCGCCGATACATCGGAGGCGTGGCATTCGTTGGTTCTTAAATTTTCAAGAAAAAGAAAAATCAAATCACGTATTAATCTGAGACTGTAACGAGATTACTAAGCACAAAAAGTTTACTAGAAAAAGAGTAAACAGACAAGCGATACAGCAATCCCTGAGACGCTGCTTCCAAGAAATTAAAATCTCTCTACGTCTTCTCCATCTTGAGTCGGCCACGTGATCTTCGGAAAAGTTCTAGATCACGTTATATTGTCATGTAGTGGAATAAAAAATTGTACCACAAACTTGTATTCATCCTTCGCTGACGAGATTAACGAAGATAAATGGACCAGTGGATACCTAAGAGATAGATCACATACATATATGGATGCAGAAAACAATTAAAAAACAAGTGAAAAAGGACATTGGGTATGTAACGTCGAAGATTGAGTGTCAAAAGACTATTCGGATAAATGAAATAAAAGGTTAAGTAAAAATTAAGTCCCAAGGCGATGGAATAAAGAAGATTCGAAAAATATTCATAAGAAAAAAAGTTGGTGAGCTTAAAGCGAATTCGAGAGTGTCCCGCGAGTAAGACTGATGTGTCTGAGTCCTGAGTGAAGCTTAAGGCGTGACGTTCAGGTCGATCAGTCTGTGATGGCATGAAGACATTAGTAAGGAGGTGCCGGCCCAGCGAGGAGGAGGATGAGGATGGTGGTGGGCATAATGGTGCTGGGTCAGCTTCTGACGAGGCTTCTGCTTGCGGCCCATGCTGGGGACAGACTTGCAGCAGCCAGAAGGATCTTGAGAGACGTTCCACTGATAGATGGGTGAGTCGGTAAAAATTGTCTTAAATCATCCACCGTCTTTGTTTTATATATTCGTATAATTTTAATAAGAATTTTCTTTTGTGTTTTTGAAGAATTCAACATCCACGGTATTTCTCACTAGAATCCAAAGGAGCCTGAGATTGTGAATTTGTTAAGTACATTGTGCGTCTAGTCAGCCAGTGACATTAACACGTGATAGAGAAATCTGGGAAATTTAAATAGACGCCGTTGAGAACAATGTCCTGCTAATGACGTGCAATGAAATATTTCATGTGCGTGCCCGTAATTACACCGATAATTAAGCTTCCCGTCACGGCTCGACATTGGCCCTTAGCTCGGTATTAGTATAGGGACAGAGAATTGTACTGGTACAATTATACTCCATACGTAGAACGTACTACAATAGTTTGAAATGCCTGAAGTAGATACATACGAGAGAATGATAGTAAATTTTTGAAAAGTCATTAAAAAATTATGACCACATCGTATAATATTACCAGGACAAGTATAAGTGATACCGAACGTATATTAATGCCTAAGAATTATTCCCAGAAAATTTTGATGCGCGATCAAGTATTAAATGTACAATTTGTTTGTAGGTTAAATATTATATGAAAAAATTGTAGCGTATAATGCAACTGCCACAATAATTACGTAGTTCGCAGTGTTTATGGCATTCATTTTTGCGCGGGAATATTTAATTACCGTAGCTCGTCACTAGGGAGGGTACAAAGCGCGGCGTCGTGGTGCGTTGGAATATTCAACGAGGAATGGGAAAGCGAGGAAAAAAGGAGAAAGAGCGATAAAAAGCAATGGTGCGAATTTTCATGGGAAAAGTCGTTACTCCTGACGCTTCCCGTCGGGCCCCAGACACTGCGGCCTTACAAATCTACTGGCGTCGTTTCGATGAATCCGAATATTCTATACGTTGGGTGAGATAAAGGGAACGGTGGAACTAGTGGATCGAAGGCCGTACGTGTGCGAATGGATGAAAGAATCGGATTGGGAGAAATGATAAGAGTCGATGAAAACTGATGTATCATCGACAGGGGGAAGTGTCTGTTGTAAGATTAAAGTAGTAAAATTGTAAATTTTCCATCAAACGTATACACGAGTTTCCATGTACGCAACAAGTATGTCTGTTTAATCTTGACATAAGTTTACCAAAGCTTCTCTGCTTTGACTTGGGAAATAGGCACGTAATAGGCTATGCTTAAAGTCTTGCGAGGCATAAGGCAACCTAATGGCGCTTCGAAAGTTAAAAGCAGGAAAAAGGATTTGGGACGGTGTTCAGAGTTAAGTATAGAAAAGGGTCAAAGTGGCTTGCGACGACGTTGGCAAGCGAGAGCAGCGTTAAAGGACGCTCGCGTTTACTTAAATTTACGCACATTTCTTGTTTTCTCTTACTTGGTCGATCTCTTTATCTCTTGCTTGTATCTGGCTTTATATCTCTCTTGGCCATTGCTAAGCGCTTGTTAGCAGCCTCCTACTAACCTAACATCTTGGAAAGTGTCGACTACCATCACACCCCTTTGTGCTGATCTCTAAATGGCGGCGCTGTGAACGACGGCGACGACAGACGCCCCAGGAATCCTTGGTGACCTCGTAAAATCCATCTTACCATCTTAAATACGTCATTCTTATTCCGGTACAATCAACCAGAGGAAAAAAGTAAAACCACTTACATGGAAACTTCGAAATGTCTTATTTCCTGTAATATATCTTTTCTTCTCTCTTTATTCAATGTATCACACGATTTAGCAAGTAGGTTATATTCGGCTTGTTGTCCTCTGGTTGGCATTGTAATATTTCTGTGCCAGTTGATTCGCGATACTTGAGAGTTCGACAGGTAAATTTGTTAACGAAAAATAAGTGTAAGGGGAAAAAACCCGATAGAAGTAACTGGATTATCCGAATTATCATGAATCGACTATGCGTAAGCACGTAACTGGTTTACAGGGCTACAGTACGGAATATGTATTGTATATAGGTATAGAGTAGGTACAAGTTAATTTTGAGTCTACGGCGCTAGGCGGCGCTGTAGTAGACGATGCCATCGGTATAGTACTGGGGTGCACGAGTTGCGGTTTATGGAAGGTACAGATAGGAAGTTGCCCAGGAATTAATGTCAGGTTCCTGCAACCGCCTCAACTAACTTCCTTTCGAGTTTCTTGAGTCCACTCAAGCGGACGTAGTGGCAAAGTGCTTGCTGGTTCTGTACGACCTCATTAATTCTCACATACTAATGGGGACTGAAAATGAAAAATGAATGTATAAAAAATCATAGAGTGGCAATAGTTTGCAAAAGATCTTCAAATCTTCAGAGTTTTGACACTTGCGGTTGGTAAAAAGAAAAAAAAAAAAAAGGAAAAAAAAATTAAGGAACGAGAACGAAAAACGAAAGAAGAATCAGAGGAATAAAATTCAAATAATAAAGAAGCTGCTCTCGCATTGTTTCAGGCACAACGACCTCCCTTGGAACATCCGGAAGTTTCTCAAGAACCAGCTCAGGGACTTCCGGTTTGATGATCTCAGGGAGACTCATCCGTGGTCCCGAAGCGCTTGGAGTCATACGGATCTCAGACGACTCAGGGAAGGGATGGTCGCTGCCCAAGTAAGTACCAGCCTAGGTACCACGGTAATTATGGAGATACCGACGCCGACGCCATTGTCGCTTTCGTAATTACAAGAGGTTGGATTAGTCGATGGAACTTCTAATCGCTCGACTTTCTTTCATTTTTACCAACTGAAGTGGCGTGGTATCACGTGGTTGGCTGTAATTAGACAAGAGTGAGGGTCAGTAATTAATTTAAATGAATTTTTCAAAAATTACTAATAATCAAATGCCTTACGACAAACTGTCGTATAGCCCTCTCTTATTGTATCTCATATAATTTTTCTTTCTCTTTTTTCTCTTCCTTATGTCCAGTTCCTAATGCCTGACGGTGGGACTCGTACGAGGACTCTTGACTCGATGAATCGCGGCATCAAGCTAGCGTCACCTCGAGTGTTGGCAAGGCCTCACCATAACCCCGGAAATTCGATAGCTTCCCCTTCCTTCCGGTTCTCCTACTCCGTCAACTCTACCGGCGATGTCATCTCTCAAGTTTCGTAATGGAGGACTTGTGTGACGAACGAAACGAGGCGAGACGAAATGAAACGGAGCAAGCGGGTTGGGTGGCAGGGGGGCGTAGGGGGGTGGCAGGGTGAGAAAAGGAGGCGAGGAAGGAAGAAATAAGGAAGGTATAGAGTAAAGAAAAGAGATAAGAAATATATGAAAGGAAAGGAAATTGCGTTGCCACGAAACTTGGCGCTATTGTCAAAGTCACGCGGATACAGAAAAAGATGTGCGAAAGAATTTCCAAGCAAAGAGATAGAAAATTTGCGAGTTGGTAGATTCGATAGCCACCCTCCTCCCCCATTTGCCACCCCTGCCACCGCATAAGGGAACATTCTTTGATTAATATAGCTGTCGTTCTTCGACATTGTGGAAGTACGTGACATAAGGCTGGTGGTTAGAAAGTAGGGGGGTGGTCAGAGAAGTAGGGGATGGGGATGAAAATATAGGGTTGAGGAGTCAAAGTGGGGGGTACCCAGAGCTTCTGCTTAATAAAAGGTTGAGGAACGTAATAGAAGCGACTTTTGGTATTAATAAAAGGGTGCTTCTAGGTGGAGCAGGCTTTAACCGAGGATCAATGGGAAACAGGAAAAGCCGATGACGAGTTGACAATGACGTATTTACTGTTGAGGAATAGCTTGAAAAATTGCTAAATATTATATACTGATGTATCCATTATACTTCAAGCTGTCCAATTTTATGATTAGAATTAAGAGCGATGCGTCAACTTTGACCCTGTTGACTGTGTATGCATATCTGTAGGCTGTTCTAGCTCGTACCATAGTGTTACTGGGTATCTTTTAACGTGTATGTGTATATATATATATTCGTACTTAACTGTATAGTATCCTTGGGAGAGTAAGTAGCCTAGGGCGCTGAAGGATGGTACAGCCCGCAGCATCCACTCTTGACTCGATTCATCACTGTCGCGGTTAATTTAGACTTTAGACGTTGTATATATACACGCACACCCCGATAGAATGGGAAATCCCGTAACGCGAAAACGCGCCACGGTTTATGTAATCATTGATCGCATGGACCTCGGAGTCTGAGTGGTTTTGAAAATTTACGAGTATTTATCTCACGTGTATATCAGTCGAGACGTAACGCCGCCCCTGGGAAATTGTGAAAATCAGACCACGAAGTTTTGGCCGAGTGATTCGCGAGGATTTCACAGTTTTCGCGTATCGTCCTGACGTATACCTTGGGTGCACGTAAAACTTCGTCGGGGATACCGACCGAGCGTTATAGCCAGGAACGTTTGAAACGTGGAATATCCGTGAGGTGCGGAACGTTGGAATGTGGGTTGGACGCTGGGAGAACGGGAAAGTGGCAAGCTTGATCGAGCCCCCCGGTGCTGCACCGGGAACGCTGGGGGGCTGCTTTTATCGTTGCAGTTACGAAACTTCGAAAGCTTCGAGATCCAGCGTGTAGTACTGCTTCCTCTTTGAGTAGCCTCCGCCATCTTGAGATTCTCTAGGATATCGAAGATCCATAGTCGACATTTATTTTAGTTCGGGCGTTCGAAGCGCCCTCTGTAAATCGAGCGAGGCGTTATAACCTCAAAATATGTCAAACTATTGAATCGGGACGATTCGAAACTTTACTATCGTCACCGATTGTTACGAGTCGTTCGTAAAATTCATAGTGCATTGTGGGATACGTGCGATCGATTTGATATTAACGCGAACGTGGTATAATCATAGCTTTACGTAATCGTCCGACGTCGTATAAAAAAATTGCTCCACTCCGTTACTACGTATTTCTCTCTTTCTTGTTCTCGGGGTATTAGAGCGTTTCGTATCCACGTAGCGAGGACGATACGTAGGAACAATAATGGCGCTGCGGAGATTGTTGGGATTCTAGGGATTGCTGGGATTACCTTGGTGCAAGTGTACGGCCTGGGATGCATAGAAGTAGGAAGCGAAGCGAACGAATGAAACTCGAGATCTTGACGTTTGACTTTTGTTGCAGTTCTGGTCGGCGTACGTGCCATGTTCCTCGCAGCATCTTGATTCGGTCCAGCTGGCACTCGAGCAGATTGACCTAATACGACGTCTGGTCAACAAACATCCACAGAGCATGGTACTCGTTAGCAGTGCCGATGGTGTGTATTACCGAATCAACACGTTGTTAAATAGCTCTTAGAAAATTTGATTTTATTAAAATTAACGTTGCTGTTATTGGTTGTTTTTATTTTTCAATGTTTAGAATACGAATCACCAGCCGATTGAGACTTTTTGAATATTTTCCTCGTCAATCCCAGCCTTTGTCTTTCTGGATATAGAAAATCGAAGAACAAACGACATCGTGTATCGAGCAGTACGTCAAATTTCCGTGCTCGAAGAACATTTGTTCGAAGCAGAACGATTCGACGTAAATTCTATCGGATTCTCTGGCAGCCAGCCAGACCAAAGCGAAGGAGGGTCGAAGGTGGCTGTTACCCCCCCCCCCCCC